AGACCTCACTTTCCACATTTGTCGAGTGAGAACAGACAATTGATGGAATCCTAAAGCTTTCAATTCCAAGAGTCCAATATTCAGATTTCTTGCACAGTCCTCTCATGGTATTTTTGGATTTTTGGAAGGTGTTTCTGATGTAGTTTTTGCAAACTCATTGGTCCAGCATCAAGCTGAATTGAATACCTGTTCCATATAGAAGGAAGAATTTCCCCAGATCCCAAATCAAATATGTAACCCAATTGGTGTGTGTATTTGAATGTTGCATGTTCACGTGTTTTCAGGAAACTGCAACTCGATTGACTAAATTCATTCTTTCTCTGGGTCTTGGTTTCTGTCACAGGAGGAATTGCATCCCATTGCTTATTATTCTATAAAAAAGAAAACACCAGGGGCCATCTCTGGTTAAGTCCCAACACTTTCACCACTGTGACCTGAATCTGACCCCCCAGCCAGGGAGCTGACCCACTTATAGCACAGGGACCTCTCCTGTGCCGCCTGCTGCTCCCCTCAGCAGTGTATTTCAGTCAGTCCACCTGTTGTGCTCCCCACTTTGTCTCTGATGGTTCCTCTCACACCACGCACCTCTTGCCTATATCCCAGCTCTTCTTTCTTCCTCCCGAAAATGAAAATAAACTCCATAGCATCTGAACACCCTTTTCATTTAATGACTATTCTGTGGTGAAGTAAAGAAAGAGATGAGTGTGTATGTGATACACACTCAGACCTGATCCACAAACGCACGTGGTCACCCTTACAAAGATGAGTGCTTGATGTTGATTATAATCTAAATCTTTAAAATATTCTTGGAGTTACTCTCTTTTATTCCACCAAGTAAATAATCGAGTTTGATGCATACCTGATCATGCTTCCTTTATGTTTTCTATTTTATCTTTCTATTTATATTTTCATAAGTAATAAAAGCACAAAGAAAAACTTGGAACAGTTCGGAAAATCTCCTCCTACCCCTACGTTCCCTTTCCTCTCCAAAGATACATTTAATTATCAGGTTTTTTTCTGATTTATTCAAAAATTAATGTACAGTAAATGACTTTTATTGTATGGTTCTAGGAACTTTAACATGGAAAATTTCAGGTAATCGCTATCATAATCAGCTCCTTGCTTTTCTAATCTATTCTCTATCATATTTTGCCTTTCAAGAGGTCATACATCTGGAATATAATGTAATCTTTTAAAACAAGATTTCTTCTCACTCATAATCCTTTTGTGATTCATCCATATGGTTGTATTATTACATATGGTTGTATTTCTTGTGTGTCTTCCTAGAGATATCTATGATAGATGTATAGTTACCTCCCAACCTCCATTTTTCCAACTATAAATAGTAGCATGCTAATACATTCAGTACTGCCTTTTGGATTTTTTCCCCCCTATAAACAATATTCTATTCTTTGTAATGGTTACATAGAATTCCTCTCAATGGATCTAAATTCTCATTGTTGAACATAATTTTTAATCTTCTGCCAGAATAGATAATGCTTTGGTTAGTGTCCTCATAAACATTTTTCTGTCATCTGTGTGTGTGGAGGACTTTAACAATAAAATTATTGTCTCAGTTCTACTCTTTTTAGTCTTTACACTTAATAGCTACAGATGGTTAGTCTGAATGTTCAAATCTAAATTAAGTGGAGGAAACCAACATCTTTACCACCCTCCCAGGGATGTCTCTTAAAGCTACTGTTTTGAAGACCAGCAGAGTATGAGAGCTCTTCTCCAAATCTTACTTCTTCCCCAGATAAGGGTGCAGACATTAACAAAATCTGCTGAGCAGAATTTGGTGGCCTCGTGCACCAAATGACAGCACATTGTGGATAAGTGGGTGCAGCATTTTATACATAGACAGCAACATCCCAGGTCACCAAGATAGTCTCACTCCAATGTATTGTCTTGTCAGTTACAGATACAAGTCAGTTCTTCTCATATTTCAAAGTATCTTAGTTGTAGAGTTGATAGTTAAGAGTCTCTAAACTGTAACAACAACAACAAAAAATTAACCGTTTCAAGTCTCTTTGATATTAGAAATATTCAATTTAGATATTTATCCTATGGAAACATTTGGATGTCATTTTTGTCTAGAGTAATTATGTCAGAAAAACAGTAACTTTCCCCCCATAACACTATGAGCACGTCCCTAACATCCCACCCAGGCCTTCAAATGGAAATTGTAATTATGCTCTAATAAACTATAGAAACATAATTCTCATTTTGTTGTTGTTGTTGATGCTATTTGGCATCAGTCACAACTGTTGAGGGTTTTGTTGTTGTTGTTCTCAAGCAAAAAACATAAAAAATGCCCAAATTGTTTTACTTTTTTTATCATATCATTTAATGTACCTCTATTCTTTGTAGTAGACTTAATTCTAAAAGCAGAACCTAAATAGCTTACTGTTTTCCCCCCTCCTCTACCTCCATATAGACTGAATACTGCAAATATCCTCACCTTGCCCTCAAACTGGTTCATGAGCAGAGATTTGTAATCCATGCAAGCCTCTCAACCAGATTTGTTCAAATCTATGCTTTCTGTTTATAACCTGAGCCACATTGGAGCCCAGGCCCTTGTATTGATAGCTTATGCTTAAGCGCTTCTTCTTTGCCATGGAAAGCAAACTATATTTGGAGCTGTCTTTTCAATTTCAGCAGATGTTCCTGTTCTTCGGTCTTAGGTACACAGAGCGTAGCCAGGGACAGCAGGCATGGCTGGTTCATTGCATGTCAGTAGTCTTCAACTTCGGCCTTGGTTCTACCTGTTCCTAACTTGGCTCTGTCTTTCCTTTCACCTTCTGTCTTCCATGAAATAAAGGATGACTAGACCATATTTAAGGCTCCTTATGAACCCTAACATTCTAGCATTCCATCGGCCACCCATAAATACCCATCTCATTTCTTTATGCATTCCTTCCAATGGCCTGTTAGTTCATGTGAGGGCAGGAGCTGTTTATCCAACTACAAGGTTAGTGCCTGGCATAAGTGAGAATGTAAGAATGGTTTGAGGGAGCATATAAGTAAATAAAATAAATTTTACCTAATCTCTACCTACATCCGGAGAAAGTTTCTGCCATGGAATTATTTCATTAGGAAAACAAGTCAGGGCCCTCCCTGGTGGTGCAGCAGGTTAAAGTGAAGCACTAAAAAGCTAAAGCCACTTCAGCATGAGTTTGATCCCCAGTCCCGGAGGTGACCCACATGGCGCAGCAGACCTCTCCTGACCCACCCGCTGCTCCCCTCAGCAGTGTATTGTGTATTTCATCAGTCGGCCTGTTCGGCTCCCTACTCTGTCTTTGGTGAAGTCTCTCACTGCCCCTGCACCTCTGGCCTGTACCCTAGTTCTGTATGAATAAATAAATAAATCTTTAAAAAAAAAAAAAAGAAACCAAGTCTTCTTAGAAAAACTTCAGTATTGGCAATATCTCTTGAATATGTACACATGTAGTTTACATATACATTTAACACATAGTTGATTACATCACACCTGTTTCCACAAAATGCCCATAGAATACTGAAGATCTGAATTATTCATGTTTTAGTGTTTAAGTAAAATATCTTTTACTTTTTTTTTTTTTTTAAGATTTATTTATTTGTGCATACAGAACTGGGGTGCAGGCCAGAGGCTCAGGGGTGGAGAGACTTCACCAGAGACAGAGTGGGGAACAGAACAGGCAGATGGACAAAGTACACTGCTGAGGGGAGCAGCGGGCGGGTCAGGAGAGGTCTGCCACACCATGTGGTCACCTCCAGAGCAGGCAGGAATCGAACTCATGCGGAAGCGGCTTTAGCTTCTCAGTGCTGTGCTTTAACCCGCTGCGCCACCAGGGAGGGCCCATCTTTTACTTTTTATCTTTTAAAAGTAGTGACACCAGGTGTAATAAAAACTGAGTTTATTTTCAGAAAAGCCAGCACTTTATAAAATGTATTTTTTGTGGGAATGCCATATATAAAATTTATTAAATGTTCTTAAAATTATTTTCTAACATAAAGTAGAGCATGCTAATATTAAAAATGTTGGTTAGTGCCGATAAATAGAAAATTCTTTAAAAATTTAAAACATGGCCCTCCCTGGTGGCGCAGTGGGTTAAAGCACAGCACTAAGAAGCTAAAGCCACTTCCACATAAGTTTGATTCCCGCCTACGCTGGAGGTGATCCACATGGTATGGCAGGCCCCTCCTGACCTGTCCGCTACTCCCCTCAGCAGTGTACTTCGACGATCTGCCTGTTCTGTTCCCCACTCTGTCTCTGGTGAATCCTCTCACCGCCCTTGCACCTCTGGCTTGTACCCCAGTTCTGTATGCATAAATAAATAAATCTTTAAAAGTTTAAAACGTGTTTAGTGATTTTATCCGATCGCAAATATGGCTAGCATTTTTATATATTTTCTTTCTCACTAATATTTCCATTTGAAAAAGAGGGAACTTTTTTTTCTCAGTCAGATTATTTGGTCCTGAGCTTATTTCATGCACTTTTAGGGCAACCTTTTAAAATGAAGCCTGCAGAGGGTCCTGCTTGAGTGTAAGTCTCCAATCTGGGTGCTGCATTCACATGTTGCTTTCAATCCCTGGATATTGCATTATCACGGTGTGGGGGTCAACAACAATCTCTTTAGCCCTGTAATAAACACACAGGGTGTGGGAGAAAGTCCACACACACTCAGAGACCCTGGTGAAATGTTGTGGTAACCTTTGTGGAATTTACTTCTGACAACTCTGTTCTATTGAAAACTTTAATAGAACACAGGGAGAGTGTGAAATAAGATTTTTAAGAGGGTTCAAAAGTGGAGGCTAGATGAGTCAGATGTGGAACCAGTGTCTGAGTCTCCATGAATTGAATTAAGGTAATAATTGTCTTAAAAGTAATGATTAACAGGAAAGTACTTTGGAAGGAATCTCAGGAATCTATACTCCAAAGCACAAAGCATTCTGATGGGCTCTTGGTGATAAGCTTGTTGGCGTGTCACTCACTTCCTGTGTGTTCTTCCCTCCCACAGTGATGAACCACCAGCACCAGCAGCAGATGGCGCCCAGCTCTCTGAACCAGCAGAACCTCCCCACTCAGAACCCGGCAGCAGGGCTCATGAGTATGCCCAATGCGTTGACCACTCAACAGCAGCAGCAGCAGAAACTTCGACTTCAGAGGATCCAGATGGAGAGAGAGAGGATTAGAATGCGCCAAGAGGAGCTCATGAGGCAGGTAGGTTTGAGGGCGCTTCGTGTAGGCTCTGTGGCCCTTGGTACCAGAGAAGGCAGACAGGCCATCATGGTAAATCTTTCTTCAGAAGCATTAAGGGCGAAAAGCCCCATCCCAAACTGCACTAGGAGAACCCTGTTTCTCCTCCCAGTGTCTTCCTGCACTGTCTTCATTGTTAACCTTATGAGGACAGGCACTAGCTAGCTGAGCATGGCTGCCTTTGACTTTTGCCAGCCTTCAGGAAAAAGGGAGTATATTCTAATTATCTATCACTGTGTAACAAATTAGCCCACAATGTGGTAACCAAATAATCATTTCATTGTATCACACAATCTTATCCGTCGGGGTCCAGGGTCAGTTGGGCTGTTCTGCTCAACATGGTGTTAACTGAAGTCACTTGGTGGTATTGGGCTGCTGGGTAGGCTGGTCTGGAGGCTCCCATATGACGTTAGATTGTGTGTAGTGTGGTAGAAGGAGAGTGAGGAGAATGGGCTCAGCTAAAGTAAATGCCTGCAGCACCTATATATCACTCTCTAGCATGGCCCTCTCAGAGCAATGGACACACTATATCCCTAGAGACAGGAAGTGGAAACTGCCAGCATTTTAGGATCTAGCTCTAGAAACTATCACAGCGGCACTTCTGCCACATTCTTGTTGCCAAAACAGTCACAGAACCCCTCCCTTCATCAGTCCCCCTAGGAAACCACACTTCCCCGCCCCCAATACACACACTCCATATTGGAGCTCATAGTGGAGTGTATTTTCTGTAGAAGAAATGACAAAGTATCTACAACCATCTCTGATCTGTCATGGAACATGAAAAAAAGGGAAAATAAGAATACTCCTCCCTCTCTCCTTCCCTTCATCCCCAACTCCCTGCCTCTTTCCAGTGTTACATTCCAAAAAATGAATAGAACAAAATCCTTGAAGGGACCCATAGTTTTCTCCCTGATTCAGTGACTTAGTTTATGCAGAAGGAAAATTCTTATATGTTGCTAAAGTAATGGCGCCCATATTTTTCAGGTCTCATAAATTTTGGGGGCTACATTTTTGGGGAAGAAAGCTTCAGTTTATTGTTCTAATTCTTGACTTTGCTTTATGACTCATATGAGCAAGATGCATGGGTTGTTCCCTTTCCTCGTTTAGGGGAGGAAATAGTTTTAACTATTTCAGAAAGCCTTCTTGCAAGATGGCGCATCAGAGTTAACATAAATTTTCCTTTTAGTTCCATCTGATACTTAAAAAATAAATATATTGACTGCCAGACATGAGTAAACTATTTCTCATCAAGCTAACTCTTAAGATATAAAGTCTCCATAGTATGTAAGGTTTGAAAAACATGAATTAAAATAATCCTTTAGACATTTGCTTTTGAAAAGGAGGGAAATGTCTGTAAATTGTGTTTTATTGTTCAGCTGAACTGTCCTCTAAATTTAAGGAATACAACTTTTTAATACAGTGGTGCAGTTCGCCCTGAGCATTTATATCTAACTTTCATGGTTATTTCAGGGTAACAGCTGTTTATATTCTTTTTAGATATATAGTATCATGTTCCTTAGCAGGCAATAAGTATATTATTTTTCTCTGGTTTTTAATAATAATTCTATCTGGAATATTTTTTGTGTTTATAATATATTATGAATTGTACTATAATAGCATTTATGTTTTCTCTTATTTTTATCTTTAAGTTAACCTTAATGAGCTCTTTTTCTTACACAAAACTATGGGTGTTATGCAAAGAGTGCTTCTCAGTTTTTGCTTCTTTCTGTGTTTCTCTTTCTCTTGTCCTACCTCCTTTTTTTCCCACAGGAAGTATTCTGAAAAGAAATTGGGGAAAAGTGCCCCAAATTGTTTCCTTTATTCTAGTTGTAGGTGCCAGTGAACTAAAATGTAATGCTGATGGTTCATATTATAGAAATGCCAACCAGATTCCTCAAATGCTAATTGCTAGTGTGGTGTTGCACCATAAGGTACAGTTCCCTGTACAGAAAACAGGGAAAGTGGGGTGTAGATGTGCTTGACATTGACCCTCTGAGGATGAGGATGATGATGATGATGATGATGTGTGTGTGTGTACATGCACATAAAAGCATGTGTGTGCATGTAGGTAGGAGAACTAGGACATGTAATGGATGGTTCTCATGTCTTCTTCTATGTACTATGGAGGACAGAAGAGAAGATCTAAAGTGACTTTTCATTGTGGAAGATTTTTCCCCATACAAAAGCAGCTGCTCTTCAGTGTCGAGAATGTTATTTAAGGCCCCACAATAAGTGGTGCTGGAGTGTTCTTTCATACTTGTCTGGGACATTTAGCAATATTTCTAATTGTTCAGGTGTGGATTGTGTGTATTGTCTTGGTG